CTGGACCTTCAGTTTCTGAATTCTTAATCGACCAAGAATGGCGGGTATCATTTAGCAGCTAGATTACTCTCCTTGTCAACAGCACAGCCATCGGGTGAAACTGTGCCACCGATTCGAGTAGGTGGCCAATATCGAAGTACAGATCTGCCGATAATATTCTTTGAAGGAAGGGGGCCCCTAAGAATACACAAAAAGTCAGAGATAAGGAACACAATCCTTATGATCAGGAAATATTTTCAATTTTGCACATTCTGAACACATGAAGTTATTACCAAACATGTGAGTCGTAGCTGTTATTTCGATTGTCCCCCATAACAAAAACAGAGTTTTCTGGTACTTGCTGCAGCCAAATACCCATAAAATGATTCAAAGTAGAAAGCATGCTCAAGAGAAATATCATATTGAAAAAACAGAAATCAGCTACGCGTTTCATGCGAGATTTGGATGTTTCTGGTTTCAATATAGTGGTTTTCCTAGTAAATTTTGATGAAAAATCGGAAGATGTCAGCCTGCAGGAACTATCAAACTTTTAAAATTCCAATGAACTCAATCAGGTCACAGTTTCAAGTTAAATAGCAATAAGTTAATATAGTGTCTAGTGCCCCTTCTGCCGTGTACATGAACTTAAACTGATTTATTTTGTCAAACAAAAAAGACTTCAATCTACTTATGGAATCAGCTTGTTAAAATAAAAGAAGGAACTTATAGGTAAGCAGAAATCTGAACTTACAATTTGAGTCATTTCATATTTCGGTGCTTCAAGAATATAATCTTCACTTCGGACAACCCCATTCACAATCAATTTCCCATCATGAACCTGCATTAGAGATAATATCACATGAAAAAAAAAAATTGTACACCTTGCAACACATTGGTAATAACACAAACTATATGAAGAAAATAAAACTTAAAACAGAAGCAGAAATTTGATTCCTTAGATAATCAATTGTTGTATTGGCAGCTTATGCCTTTTTTCATTCATGCTCTTCCAAGATTGGGATCAAAGCCTGAACATCAGTAGATTAAAAATCCCATGATACTGACGTCAGAGAAAGAGAACACATATTATAAGTTGTGGAGAGAAGAATACATGAAAACCCCAAAAGTGAACAAATAGCTAAAATGCACCCACACACACAACTAAGCATTCTGACGGAAACTGCCCTCAATTACCAACCATACATTGAGTTTCAAGCAACATGATAAGGCATAAGACAGGAATCATAGATTGTAGAAGTCAATAATCTGTATTGCATATCAAAGACACGCTTTCTAAGTAAGTAAAAGTACCAAACAAATTTGAGGAAACTACTAGCACATGAGAGAACTTGGGGCTCTTCTCTATGATATGTTCCTCATAATTCCTAAGAGTGTATGTTTGTATATATGTATATGTATATGTATGTATATATATCAATTTAAGATTATGACACTGAGAATAACTCGATTACCATCAATCAAATCTATATCCAATTCACATGTATTGAACAAACCACATCAAGAAAAAACCAAATGTAGAACGTTAGCAGAAAAACTCTAGAATAGCGGTCGGAGTTACAGAATCTACGGGGCAAATGACTAGGCTCGCCTAATTTTATAAATAATTCATAGTAACAGGATTCCAACAGCAAATACAAATTTAACCAAAAAAAAAAACTTTTCATATCTCTACTTCCTAAAATCTCACCTCCACAATATCGCCTGCTTTTGCAACTATCCTCTTAATAAAAACATCATCATCTGTGTAACCAACATCTTGTAGCACAGGCGGGCTTTTGAAAATAACAATGTCATTTGGACATGGTTTCCGAAAGTAATATGAGACCTGAACATGGAGATAAGCATAATAAGTAAAGACATGCTCCGAAACCTTGTAACACGCCATAACCAACATCCGAACACATTACCTTTTCTGCAACAATTCGATCTCCAACATCAAACGTGGGGAACATAGACAAGGAGGGAATATATCTAGGCTCAGCCACAAACGACCTAAACGCAAGTGATATGGCCAAGGCCGCAATAACCGTTTTAGCATCGTCCGAATTGAAATTCAGCCATTCCGGCAAAAGCCGACCGCCTTCTCCCGTTTCTCGCTCATCTCCGTCGCCGCCGCCGCCGCCGCCGCCGCCATCGTCTTTAACTGCCGTCGTTTTAGTGATGTCCTCGTTGGACCCATAACAACGAACAGTTGGCGGCCTCGTACGTTTTAAGTATACGATCTTGGAGGATCTGAGGAGGGATTTGGAAGGAGTGCGGTTGAATTGGATGGGCTTTGAAAAAGGGTTGAAATTGATAGTGTGGTTGAGGCATTGGGAGCAGACGGGGTTAGGGTTATGGAGAGAATGAAAGGGAGGGCTGAGCTGAAGAGTTATCATGGGGTTGGGTTATCTCACTGTTGAGCTGAGTTTAGTTGCGCTGTTTGGAGTAATGAGCGCATGGCATTTGGTAACGCGATTATTTCAGGGACAGATTTTGCCCGTTTGGCCATCTGTGTCCTTTCACCGGTTGTTTATTTTTAGCAAGCATTTTAGGGGTTATAAAAAAAAAAAAAAAAAATTGATTTGACTTATTGAAAAATGTAAGTTAATTTTTGTAAGGAAATATAATCTGGCATTAATAGAAAATACTATTTATTTATCATATTTGTGTTTTTTAAAATATGTATCAAAGAATTAATGCTTAAAGAGAAAGGAAACATCTTCTCATCTTAATTTTCCATATTTTAGTTATTCTCTTATCATGTATTAGGATTGAAATTTTTCAATGGATCTTAACGAAAATTTCAGCAAAAATATTTCGTTGACAATTCCAACAACTTAAATATACAACTATCTTCCTTTAGCTTGTAGGTAAAAGAAATATTTTAGATTAATTAGGAGATTTTATATATATTCTCTCTTTTTTTTTTATATTCTCTTACTATATGTTATTGTATTTATTTAATTGTCTTCTTTTACTTGTAGGAAAAAGAAGATCAAAGATAATAAAAGGAAGATGATAAAGCCTTTGCCCTTTTCTGGATATTGGAGTTTGCACCATTGAACTGCTCGAATGTATATAACTGCATATCAAACTCTTCTGCTTCAAATTTCTTAAATACAGTTGCAACACCACCTTCAAGGGGTATGACACATGCATTAAAATATGACAAAAATTTGTTTGACTCATACCCATGTAATTCTCTATATTGCACGATAGTGTCACCAAGAATCGCATCAAGTTCAATGATTGATAGCAACAGTTCCAACTTCATCCTCCGACCCCGGAGGTTCCTCATCGAAAATTGGCTGACCGTCGTACAATGGCCAGTCATCTTGCTCTCCGTCGAATTCGGGGATGTTCATGCGAAACGGATCCTCCCATTTACCATATTCGCGATCAAGTCCCCAAACGCGTCGGGCACGATATTCGCCGGCGAAGGAAGCCTCCTCGCGCCTGCCTCTGTCGTCGCGTTGATTGTCGTTGTCCATGAAGATCGGGCCCCATCGCCGCACGTCACGGCTGCCGTATGCAACGAAGGGGTCAACCTGCATGCTGGGGTGGATAATCGCCAAAGGAATTCACCTCTGAGATTGTCTCCTTGCCGTCTTTGTAGCCAGACAGTGGTTGTGGAGATCACCGGCAGGGCACCCCGCCTAGAACACGGCCTCCACGTCCTCCGCGAACTACCTCACGCAAGCCCCTATTGCCACCCCCACGGTTCGTCTGCAAATTCTCAACCATGTTGTTGATCGTAAGACGCACTTCTTCGATCCCCGTCAAAATATCCTCAACCCGACGATTCAATTGATTGATCTGGCAGCCGAAGCCAGTAGCTTGTCGACCCGAATACTCAATGGTGGCGTCATACCCGTCGATTTCATCATTTCGTGGCGACATCTTGAATCGTGCTGACTTCTGATACCAACGGATGTAGGGAAGCGTACGTGTGAGAAAATAAATAAGATACTCTCTCGGTAAAACTCAAAAAACTCAATCAAATCTTATTATCAATTCACCTTTTATTCATAATCAATTGAAGAACACAAATTGGGAGGAGTCCTTTAAATAAGGCTCCTAAACCCTACTCCTAACTTGTCCAAAAAGACATGATGTCTTACTAAATATTCTTATACCAATATAGTAAAAATAATAAATATTATCTTATCAATTAAATACCAAACATAAACGAATAATAATAATAAAGGTAAATGGAAATAAGTATATATCCTAAATCAATAATCGTGAATATATATATTTGCATCATTATATATCCGCATGACGTTTTTTGCTCTCAGGACGAATAAGGACTTTCTCTTTGTTCAAATCTACGTGGATAATATCATCTTCGGCTCAACCTCTATGACTATGGTCAACCACTTCGTGCAGCTCATGTCCTCCGAATTTGAGATGAGTCTTGTCGGTGAACTTATATAGTTCCACGAACTTCAGGTAAAGCAAGGTAAGTATGGTACTTTTTTTCATGGTGACAAGAGTCCTCAACCTTGTTGGAGCATCGTGTAAATGTCGGATCTTCTTCGAGAGCAAAACCGAATTGAGGTAATAGAAGCTCTCTTCAATGATGAGCTCCCAAGTGGAAGATGAATAAACCAAGAAACTGCTCTTAAACGTCCAGGTGACACACGTTGGGGTTCCCATTATATTACTTTGTTGAGCATTATTTGTTGGGTTCTAAGAGAAACGTCAAACAACATGCACAATATTGAACTTATAAAAATAAATCCTAACGCACCGGAATCTATAATTAGGATATGGACATTACCTTTTAAATTTTTTGCCGACTCAGAGACGATGTAGAATACCGTTGATGTAGTTCGTCTGAACACCACAATCTAATGGGCAGATAGGTTTGGCCTTTAATCTATTATAATCGATAAATCAAATGAAGCTCGGTCACACGGTTGCTTGGTCTCGGCGTCGGGTGCAGCGGACTGGTCGCGGGCGGCTTGCGCACGTCGGGTGCTGATTGCGAACACTGGCAACGTGCGCGGGGCGCTGGGCTGATGAGGGATTGTTTCTTGCCAACTGTTGTGGATAATCGCGCACTAATGGCCTTCGACTAAACACGATAGGTTGTGACTAAAGACGCTCTCAGGGCCTTCTTGTTGACACGGTTGTATGATAAACACGCACTGATGGCCTTGTTTAAACACAAGGATGAACAAAACGTTCTTTTCTATTAACCACTCAGCATATCAAAAACAATGATGGAAGACAAGTATTTATAGATCCTAACTTAGTCTAATCCTGTAACGCCCCATATTTTATTAATAAAAGAAAGATACAAGCTTTTAATTATAAGCTAGCCTTTGTTAGTAAATGTTCATGTTAATGTTCAAGCCTAAGTTATTCAGCTAGCTAAATTTCAAGTTCGACGTTAAGTCGAAAGTATATCCGGTTAATTTTATTTATTAACCGAGTCAATGATAATAATTAATCTCAGTCCATTTATTTAATAAATGGACATTAGCAAGATCAGGATTAATTAATCCAGTATTGATGTATTAATTGAATTTGAGAATATTCGATTAATCGTCAAAGTTGTATTTCAAGCCAGTTATTGAGTTTCAGTTTCAAGTTAGACTATTAGTCGATAAGATATTCGATTTAATTATTTCTATAATCGAATAAGTTTTCAGATTTAATTCCAATCCGTTTATATAATAAATGAGTTTGGAATTAATATGTTTAAATCGAGGTAATATTCGAATTAAGTTTCGAAGTCGGTCCCGACCGAAATCAAGCAAGTTTGGTTAAATTAATTCCTAAAAAATTCTAGTCGAGTAATAGGTATACTTAGAAAATATTCCAAGTATGTGGTAGTAAGTATGCGTAAGCATATGTGAATCCAATTTTTAAGTATTATGCTCATTTCATGCGGCACTATAGCCGAGCCTAAGTTAGTGCAGTAAGTATGTGTTTAAGTGAGTTCAATTATTTTATAAGCTATCATTATTAGTTAATGTTACAAGATGGTGGAGTTAGGATATGTTGACACCTAAGCTACTTGCTTCAACACGTTAAAATGCCACCATTCTATTTATTTCGGGCAAGTGTCCTTATTGGGCTTAGTCATCAAATTCTTCACTTTTTTTAAGACAATATAAATATATTAGTAGAGTGTAAAGGTTTTATCAATTGCACTTAAAATTATTCATAAAGCATCCTCAAATAGTATTTAAGAGAGAGATGCCGAGAGCACCTAAGCTCATTGCCGAGAGAACTTCTTCAACCAAGTTAGGAGCTAGTATACTTTAATTAATTATTTTGAGCTTAGTTAAAGTGACCGTAAGAAGCATAGAGTAAGAAGTGGAGAACATAACTTGCACATTATTCATTGTTAAAGGGAAGCATGCGCACTACCGAGTGGACGCGAGCGAAAGCACGAAGTCTAGTCTTATTCCGCGAACAATCGAAAGGGTAAATTCATATCGACCCTCTTTTAATATTTATGTGATCATGTTAGGTAAATTATGTTTAAATCATGTAGTTAAGTCCATGTATAGTGACATGTTGCACACGGAGATGCCATATAGGCCTTCCGAGCCATTTCAATTTTTAGTCGAGCACTCTCGAGCCAATTATAGATTTTTAATCATTATATGTCATGTTATGTCAATTCATGTCGATGTTTCCGGAGGAAGTCGTCGGACGGCCGGCAAGGGCCGGTCGTAGTTGCCTTGCCCCCAAGTAGCAGGTGCAGCGCGCCCGACAGTCAAGTGAGGCTTGCGGGTGGCTTGCGTGTGCCCAATCGGACGTCGCGCATAGCCATGCCGCAGCGCCCAACAGCGAGCAGACAGTGTCCGCAGTGTGTAGCGAGCGTAGGCAGCGCCCGGAGCGCCAGGCCATCTCGCAACACGCACAGCCAGCAGTGTCTCGACGCACGATGGCGAGTCCCAGCGCCCGTTAGCGTCGTCAGTGGGCCAGCATGTCCAGTCGGCCTCGGCCAGTGCCGAAAGCACGCCCGAGTATCATGTGCCGTTAGGGTCACCCGACAGCGCTCGTATGGTACCAGTCACTCTAGCCGCGCCAACAGCGTTGGCTAGTATGCCCATTCGCCGTCGTCAGTGCACAAGTAGCACGCGATGGCTGTCCCATGCGCACGCGTGGTGCCAGTCGCACCCGCAAGTGCACGAGCCATGTCCAGTCATGCGCAGGCCGCCGCCAGCAGCGCCCGTCAGCGTCTCAATGCCAAGCCACGAGTCCAGTATAGCCATGTCTTGAGCCCTGTGGTGCACGGGCTAGCGCCCGATAGCGCCCCGCCATGTCAAAGCAACGCCGGCACTGGGCACGCCAGCGTGCACGGTTGTGCTCGACCGTGCCCAGGCATGCCAGCAGAGCCCGGCAGCGTGCAGCCCGCCCCTAGCCGAGCGTG